CTCCATTTGTAGACTGGATATAGTTTCGTCGCCCAGCTTCTGAGTTGAATGCATGGCGTGACCCTGTGAGCTGCGGATTGCATTTGGAATGTCTTTTTTCGACTGTGACCAACGTGGTGTGAATTGTAGATTCAGAAAATGGCGCGATGCCTGTCGTTCAATGCTTGCGGGACCCGTATTAAAATTGATCACGCGGACAACTGCTGATCTGTTGACGACAAGTTCTGCTATCATCAATGATGAACTGCATTTCTAATGTTGGACTGTTTGTGTTAGCACTTCGGATGGCTACCATATGCTTTAATGCGAGTGTATGCTAGATATGCTGAGACAGCAGTCTGTCAATCTTTCCACAAGGGACTGTGATAGATATTCTGAGTGTTTTTTGCTGGCACAGGAGCGGAGCAAAGATGGGGCAACCCGTTTGCTATGAAGCTGAAACTAAGACTACCAGACTACCAGACTACCAGACACATATAATACATTCATGCATACATACATACATACAATGTGCGCGCCCACACACAAACACACACACACACCCACACCCACACACACACACACCCACACACCCACACACACACACACCGACAGACAGACAGACAGACAGACAGACAGACAGACAGACAGACAGACAGACAGACAGACAGACAGACAGACAGACAGACAGACAGACAGACAGACAGACAGACAGACAGACAGACAGACAGACAGACAGACATACATACATACATACATACATACATACATACATACATACATACATACATACATACATACATACATACATACATACATACATACATACATACATACATACATACATACATACATACATACATACATACATACATACATACATACATACATACATACATACATACATACATACATACATATACACATACATACATACATACATACATACATACATACATACATACATACATACATACATACATACATACATACATACATACATACATACATACATACATACGTACATACGTACATACGTACATACATACATCTTTTGTGTGCCGCTAGACGTCACATAGGCCTCTCATTCGACTCTTACACTCCGCTTTATTGCATGCAACGCTCTCGTTTTCTGACTTGGAGTTCAGCCCAGCATTTTGTTTTCTTCCCGTTCTCCTTTTCTCCAACGGTTTGTTTCCCATTGCAGTGTCTGATTTGTAATTCTTTGCTTATATTGTCTCAGGGTATGCCAAATATTTTTCCACCTTCTTTGTCTTATTGCTGTCAATAAAGTTATTGTATTTTACCCCTTCAGGCATCGGGGATCCAATTCGTTAGCGATGGAGACTCCCTGTGCGCCAAAACTGTGTCTGTGACAACAGGTAGCACCACGTGTTGGTACGGGTGACTTGATTGACAGAGGCAATGGGTTTCCCATTTTTTAAGGATTGGTGCATACCAATCCTTGTTACTCGCTGAAGAGATTTGAAAGCTCTTTTTCACTAGTGGCTCGGACCAGTCTACCGAGGCCTATCTCCCATGTCGTTTCGCTGAAAAACGTGTAGTTGTTATTTACACCAGGCAAACCCATCATCCGACATGTGCAAAGCTCATTGACTTTCACGGTTCTGGCTGAAGGAAGACCTGTAAAGAAAAACAGCCATGCTTTTGCTTTGACTATGCTAGTAGTCTATGGAGGTGATGGCAGTAACGAAAGCAGTGACCTGACTAGAGACAGATTCTCATACGTTCTTTCTGATTCCATGAAAAAGGTTCGGAAGATCAAGACGGGATGGGTTCGAAGACGATGGTGAAGCCTCTAAGAAAATCTCGCCCAACAGGAATCAGTTTCATTTTCATGACAGAGCTCTCTGGGGTAAGAGGGAATGAATAAGCGGATTGGCTTGCTGACAGTGCCACAGTAGGCATAATTAAAAACAATGGCCTTGGCTGATGTTCAGTGCTTTCGGGGAGGCAGGACGAGTAGATTATTCAGGAGACAATGGTGAAGCCGCAACCTTGACAAGATTACAAGAGCGTCATGTCAAAAGAGGTGTCACTAAACATGTAGAATAAACAGGCAGCCAAAGAAGAACAGTAAACCAACACAGAACTGGTGTTATCAGTTACCAACCTTGATGGAGATAATGAGATGTAAATCGAGCGTTAATGGACTTGTCCATCTTTTGACTGGAATGATCGTTTGATTAGCTAACTAAGTAATTGTAACTAAACATGGATACACAAAATTACAAAGTACCCTTTGCCACGCCTACGAGCGTATTGGGCATATAGGCCTAGACCTGTATTTTATAGCCCAATCGGCAGATGTCTGATGATGTGGTCAGCATCACAAGGCCGCCTTTACTGACCTGATACCAACTCCAGGCTGGGTCGACCTGGGAGAACTAAACATTGACTACGAGTTCAACTAAGAAGACTTGCCTAGGCCTTTCATTGCCTTGCGCAGAGCGTCGGCTGCTTTCTCCGGATCAAAGGGATTCGCTGGTGGAATGCTAGACTGAAAAGATGGAAAACATTAAATTATATGCTTACGAATACATTTAATATCCTCAAAGACAGAAGTAAACCACCTTTTACAATGTTAAGAACCCGTTTAGGGTACCATGTGAAACAATATGACTTTCTTCTAAGACGGAAAAAACACTAAGTCCACCTCACACAACTTCAGATGAACATCAAGAATGAAGCTTTGCTTAGTCTTGTGTGTCATTTATACTATGTGGTCCTAGACCGTAGTTCAAAAACAAATCAGATTTTTCAAATGTTTGTCTGTGAAATATATAAAGACATCATCTAACTGTAGGCCTCTGTCCTCGTGAGATCTGTGTTTGCCTGTGATTTAAACTGTTTCAATGTGGAGCAGGACAGTGTGACTCAAGAGGTTATCAAGCCGGTGCCTGTGATTGAAACAGTTCCAGTGTGGAGCAGGACAATGTGACTCAAGAGGTTATCAAGCCGGTGCCTGTGATTGAAACAGTTCCAGTGTGGAGCAGGACAATGTGACTCAAGAGGTTATCAAGCCGGTGCCTGTGATTGAAACAGTTCCAGTGTGGAGCAGGACAATGTGACTCAAGAGGTTATCATGCCAGTCTTTCCACACCACCCCATATCGCACACATTTCGCAGATCACAGAACTAGAAAAATTCTCCCTCTCTATAAAGATGAAAATATTGGCAGCCAGTCCAGCTAGAATGGTGAATGCTGAATCAAAAATCGACATCACAGCACTTGGGACACCCCCTCACCCCCCCCCCACCCCCAATAGGCGCTCTGTCCTTATCTTCAGCAGCAAGTGAAGAGCTCTAATTCTGATGGTACCAGTAACTGTCTGATTGTACAATCGGCTCTCCATTCCCTTGAGTGTTGAGCGTCAGGCAGATTTAAAAAAAAACTCCCCGAAGCGCATCCTCCTCAGACCGCAATGATTTATGTGTGCCTAGGCACTGTTCAGCGGCGTCCGTGACTTAGGCGTAGCGAGTCCGACTCGTAATTCCAACGTACGACGATTGAAACCCACTGCTGGCTGCGTGGATTTTTATCATGGTATGGGGCTATTATATGGAAGTAAAGACGGGCGGCGTAATGCTGACAACATAACCCACCGAGTACCGATTGGTCTGTAAAAATATGGGTGCTCTTTCCATATGCCCGATACGCCTAAAGGCGTAAAAAGCGTTCTGTACTTTTACCTCCTACTTACGCACTGCTCACTGGCTCCCAAAGAACCCTTACTAGATGATCATACATCAGTAAACCACCAAGTGAAGAAAAACTGGCCAGTCTATCTGCCTGTTAATTTCCAAACACGCTTGCTTGACCTGGAGAAAATATCTAAAGGATGCTAGCTACCCAGGACCTTTGAAGTGATGCTTGCTACTCTGAACGGAGCATACCGGTCTCCACCTTTCTCAATATGCTCTGAGAGTCAGTTACAATGATGGCATTTGTGTACAGCAGATTCTCAAGCCAGCGGAAGGCAACAGTGACTGCCTCCACCTCCATTCTCAAGCTAGACGTTGTGATATCATATGCTAAACACTGTTGCACTAAGCGAAGTTCATTTGCCTTTGCTATGAACCCCCATGCACTTCGTCTGCCCCTCAACAAAGAGCCATGTGTATAGATAATCACATCCTCGGGACGGAATTGTCATTAACGATCTGCTAAACCTCTGATTCTGCAGCACAAGTTGGCTAGTCCCTGCATTTACAAAGAAAAGGGATAAGAACCCTACACAAGTCTGAAACTTGTTCAGACACCTTGACCCACTCCTCTCCTAGCTCAAATTTATCAAGCCTGCACACATGTCAAATTGTGTCCTCAGCTTTCGCCATCCAAGACCTTCCTCACTTCAGTGTGTCCTTTAGCTCTACTTCTGATTCATGTAGGAGGTGCTTCTTTCTGCATTCACTGTGAGATATGGCTTTGCAAAACTTAGAGCCTATCTGAAATATTAGGCAGTGTAAGTATGTATCTTATACATACTACCGGGAGAGGTCTTGAGGAATTATCCGCATAGCTTCATTCTGTGTGCGTTTCAGTTTTATCAGCTGACTTTTTGATTTGGTAAGCATTCAAAGACCATAATCTTTTCTAACGTTTTCTAGATTCTCGACATCCACTCGTAACCTGTGAGTTGTCTTTCGTACTTTTTGTAATGGTTTAAATGCTGCTCGCCTCGCTTTTCATGCCTGTTCTATTTCTTGCGTCCACCATGGGTGCTGCACAAAAGCAGAGATGGTGATTCTGCTGCATAACTACTGTCAAAGGCGTCCAAGAAGGATACTGGCCTTCTCATACTTAAAATTAAAAGTCTTGCGGTTTCTCACAGCCTTGATCTTACTAGCTTTAAAATTCAGTCTGATCATGGTATATGGTCACTCCCTAGGGCACTCCATTTTGTGTCCAGCACTGCTGACTAGGAAATAAACGCAAAATCAATAGCCGTGTCTCCATCACCAGATCTCGATGCTATTCTATTTGGCCTACCGTGGCTTATACAGTCTGCGTCTGCATCAACCAAAGCCTCTACTAAAGCAACTCCTTGTCTATTTTCTACACTACTGTCCTATTGCATGCGGATATGCACTAAAACACACCGATACTGACTGGGCAAATAGGACGCAAAACAATACGTAGTATTGTTAGGAAATTGGAATCAAGGGGATTCGCCGCATAAAGTTTGAAGTAGACAGACCTGTGGTCGGGTCTTAGTGAATCCTTAAGAAAGTTCTACCTCGGGATTCCACGTAGAAACCTCAGCCGAGAGCTGGTACATTATAGCTTTCTGCAAGAACCAGGAATATTTAAAACTAATGAATCTCTCAGCCGAATCACTAAGGAGGGACATTGCCCTGTTATCTAGTATCAGACTGCAGATGATGAGGTCGCTGTAACCGTTTAGACTCTCAAGGTCGTACTGTTGACCCGTAGGGAGTTGTTTGAATATGTCATTAGAATTTCTGTAGACGAGTATGCTTGCGCTAGCGAGTGCTTGGCGTATTTGGGTGAGTCTTCACGCCATTTATCAGTTTATGTGCACATTTTTCTCATTTTTGATCAATGTGTTCGTTAATACACCAATCTGATACCATGTACATGGCCTTGGTCGTTGAATTTCTGTTAGGACACATTGAAGTTGATTGTTAATGTTATAGGCTTCTTGTTTCATCGTTGCAATTAATCTCTGATTGTTCTACCACACTTGGCTGCTGGCATTGTAATATATTTATACTTCACTCGTTTTGGTACCTGATAGCACGCGAAAATGGGACCTACGCCTCTCAGAATCGGAGGGTGGGGGGGGGGGGGTGGCGCATGTTTCATGTCCCATGCTCTGTTCCGCGCATTGAAATCCCCACAAATGAGAAGCCTGTTACTAGGGATTCCCTCCAACTCTTTGAGCCAGTCGCAATGTTTGCTTGTGACAAGAGAGTCAACCGATTTACAAACATTGACTAAATTTCAGCTTGAGACCCCATTATCTATCTGTATATCCTGCCCGGCTCTCTAGCGGAGTTGGCTAAACCGGATTTCCCGGAGACCGGGTGACATACTCCTTGTGGTCCGGGTTCAATCCCGTCCCAGGGGTAGGCAGGAAAGCCACATTTTCTCCCAGATTTACGGTATTTACAATGGAATCAAGGCCGAAAGGTTGCGATATCCACAATACCGAGCATAAGGGTTAACAACTCATGGCTTCTGGATACTAAAACAAACAAACAATCTGTATATCCTGAACAAACTTTGAATATCTAGGCTCTATAACAAACAGCAATGGAGACTGTTCAACAGAAATTAAAAGGAGGATGGCCATAGCAATGCAAAGATTGAACAGCCTTAAAAGCCTACGGTTAAGGAGCAAGGACATCAAAATTAGAATTTTGAAAGCATGCATCTTCCCTGTGGCTACATACTGATGTGAGTCGTAGACTATCACTCAGTCCTTAAGAAAGAGAATAGGGGCTTTTGAGCTGAAATGCTATAGAAAGATTCTCAGAATATCTTGGACAAAGAATAGGAAAAATACTGACAATTTGAAAAATCTGAACATCAGAGAAAATTGGCTAAAAATCAGCATCCTGTCTTGGAAGCTGAAATAGTTTGGTCATATCAAGCGCCACGATGGGTTGGAAAAATTATAATAGAAGGCATGGTTCCAGGAAGGAGGGGCAGGGGCCGACAGACAAGAAGATGGGCACAGGATATAAGTGACTCCTTGAGTATGAAAGCACATAGGGCGGGAGAACTGGCGAGAGACCGAGTTTCTTTTAGACAGACTGTGATGAGAGCGACGTTCTGCAAAGGACTTGCTTCATAATGATGTAATGCTGAACCTCTAGTGTGCTATGTTTCCACTGGCCCAGGACAAGAATCATGTTCCACCTCATTCTTCACCAGCAGACAATGCCCATGCCTCCCCTGGGATTTATATAACGAATGTATCCAGGACACTCATATCTATCTATGTTTAATGCCTGCAGCATAATGATATCAAAGTCATCAATTAGACTCTCCACTACAGGTCCTCTTTGCTTTGCACTTTGGCAATTCCAGTAACCTACTCTAATATGCTTTAACCCCAGATACTCCGTTTTTCGCCTGACTCTCTGGGCTCCCTATCTCTATGATTTCTTTTTTTTTCATATCTTCATTTTCTCCTCTTCCCACAATCTCCGTTGCCACTCCAAGATGGCATCAAGCACAGAGCACGCACTCCGTAGTCCCGGAGATGATCCTTTTTATTATTCAATGCAAAATCCATAGAAAATATTCTTGAATTCTGTAAGTAAACGGTCAGCCTAATATTCCTGCCTGGTACTGAAGTGCCAGGGGATGTCCTCACGGAGTTCATACGCTAACCAGACGTTAAACGTTCACCACTGTATATGCCACAGCCATTCAGCCAATAGGCACGTAGGTCCACCATAAGTTATGTTTTTTTTTTAGAGCTTGTCTCCTCTAGATCCGTGCCTCTTCAGTCACGCACACAACAA